CCCCCCCCCCCCCCCCGGATGACATTTTGGGGGCGTGTCAGGGAATCGATGGCCCCGCGGACGGGCACAGCCCCGACCGGCGGTCGTTATTGAAGCGTCGTTTTTCTCAAACGGGGGAAATTAGGCCAAATGAGTTTCTGTGCCGTGCTGTGACAAGAGCATTCACCCCCGGAGGCGGGGATCGATACGCCGGCCAGCTGTGTCAGCCAGGGGGGAGCCCGGGGGTGGGGGCACCTAATAAAGCAGTAGGCGTCGAGTCCTGTCTCCTGGGAGATGCATATTGAATCAGGACCGAATGCGGCCGCGGGGGCTGCTGATGCGGGAGGCAGCGGTCGTTCGGTGGAGGAGACAGAGCAGCCGCTTCCACAGCCCGCTTGACACCCTCCACACACGCAGTTAAGCCCCCCCCCGATCAATGGCAGCATCGATCGCGCCGTAGCCCGCGACAGAGCCGGGCCCAGCCTGCTGGTGGAGGGGCCGCATGTGGGACAGGAGGCCGATGACGGTAATGGAGCTCGCCGGGGGGGTCGTCTCTACCGCTTCGTAAACAGCACTGGGGAGGCTTCTGTACGGCAGTGTCTGATGCATGATGGGACTCCAGAGTGTGCATTTATATTCTACCGACCACTTTTAGATACGACATAGATATACGCACAGATATAGACCATGTCAACACAACATAGATGTGTTCTCACATACGCTACCCGCACCACATAGATATAGATCACGGGAACACCACATAAATATATAGACCATACACACCACATAGATGGTACATATCACATACAGATATAGATCGTGAATACATCTATGTGGTGTTCACACTCATGTACCACACACATCACATAGATATGCACTGAAATATGTATCACGCATACACCACACATACCACATAGATATATACACAGATATAGATCATGCAAACTCCAAGATATACAGATATAACCATGAAGGATAATATGGACATATATATACACACCATGCATCACATAGATATATACACAGATATGGACCTTACAAACACCACATAGATACATAAAGGCATATTGACCACATGCCCCAAATAACTATTTTTACATTTATTTAGCACAAACACCACAGATACATGTACTGCATGTTTATACACTGGCAGTGAAGCACGCGTACATCCCGTCACTGACGGTGAAGCAGGCGTACATCCCGACACTGACGGTGAAGCAGGCGTACATCCCGACACTGACGGTGAAGCACGCGTACATCCCGACACTGACGGTGAAGCACGCGTACATCCCGTCACTGACGGTGAAGCACGCGTACATCCCGACACTGACGGTGAAGCAGGCGTACATCCCGTCACTGACGGTGAAGCAGGCGTACATCCCGACACTGACGGTGAAGCAGGCGTACATCCCGACACTGACGGTGAAGCAGGCGTACATCCCGACACTGACACACCACTTTGCCGCTGCTACAGACACACACACATCCTCGCTGTTTTAGGAGGAAGTTGTTTGGCCGTGTGCGGGCTGAGCTCTCTCTCTCACTCACTTCCCATCCTCCCTTTCTGTCTCTCTCCCCGTCTGTTGCTCTCTCTCTCCTTTCTTATTCCCCTCTTTCCCTCCCCCTCCCTTCCTACCCCCTCTTTTTCTCTCTCTTACTCTTTCTTCCATCCCCCTCTTTCCCTCACACTCTCTCTCCCTTCCCATTCCCCTTTCTCTCTCTCTTTTCTGCTCTCTCCCTTCCCATCCCCTCTTTCTCTCTCTTGCGCCCCCTTCCATCCCCAAGTCTCTTCCATTCTTTCTTCCCACTTCACTCTCCCCTTTCTCTCTCCCTCTCTCTCCTTTCCTATCCTCCCTCTTTCCCTGACCCTCTCTCCCTTTTCCCTCCCCCTCTCTCCCTTCCCATTTTCCATCCACCATCCACCTTTCTCTCTCCCTCTTTTCTGCTCTCTCCTTTCCCATCCACCTTTCTCTCTCCCTCTCTTTCCTTTCCCCAAACCCCTTTATATCTCTCTTCCTCTCTTTCCTTTCCCCAAACCCCTTTATATCTCTCTCATTCTCTCTCACTTCCCATCCTCTTTCTCACACTCTGTCCCGCTTTCCCTCTCCTTTACCATCCCCCTTTCTCTCACGCTCTCTCCCTTCCATCCCTGCTTTTTCTTTATGTCCCTCTCTTGCTCTCTCTCTCCTTTCCCATCCCCCCTCTTTCTCTCACGCTCTCTCCCTCTCTTTCCTTTCCATCCCCCCTCTTTCTCTCAAGCTCTCTCTCTCTCCCTCTCTCTCCTTTCCCATCCCCCTCTTTCTCTCACGCTCTCTCCCTCTCTTTCCTTTCCCATCCCCCCTCTTTCTCTCACGCTCTCTCTCTCCCTCTCCCCTCCTCCTCCCTCTCCTCCTCGCTCCTGCTCCTTCTCGGTACCTCGCTTGCACCCTCCAGCTCCCATTCCCTCCTTCACCTTTCGGACCCCCCGGCCCTTTCTCTCCTTTGTTTTAAGGACCAGCGTCCCGCTCCACTCTGCTCCACTGTGCACCATGTTGGCCTGAACCCTTAGCAGCTCTACTTTCATTCAGGAACGCCGTGTTTTTTAAAGGTCTCCCCCCCCCCCCCGAGCTCCTGAAAGCGAGGGCGCTCCTTGGGGAGGAGCCGCATTGTGTTTACCGCACGGTATTATCGTCAGAACCCCCCCCACTCCCGCGGCAGATGTTCTGAAGTGGAAATACATGTGGGCTTGTTTAGTGTTGCCTAAAACACAGAGAAGGATGTCCTTGTGGGAGCCAAGCCTGCGTCTGTCTGTCTGTCTATCTGTCTGTCTGTCTGTCTTTGTGTGTGTGTGTGTGTGTGTGTCTGTCTGTGTGTGTATCTCTGTGTGTATGTTTTTGTGTATCTGTGTGTATGTATGTCTCTGTGTGTATCTGTGTGTGTATCTGTGTGTGTGTGTGTGTGTGTTCTCCCCTTGCCTAATCGCACACCAGGACGCCTCGCTGTTTAGTTCCACTCCAGTGCCATTTACGAAGATAACGTTAATGCTGCCCCTAAGTGGTAAACCTAATTACTGCACACTGTCACGGAGCAACACAAACAAACTAATGAAGAAATTAATTGTCAGCCAGGGCAGCGATAACCGGCCGTGCACACGTGTCCCCCCCAACATCCCGGCCCAATGAGGCCCACAGACATGTTGAGACACACACTGAGGCTCACAGACATACTCATACACACAGAGGCTCACAGACATGCTGAGACATACACTGAGGCTCACAGACATACTCATACACACTCTGATGCTCACAGACATACTGAGACATACACTGAGGATCACAGACATGCTCAGAAACACACTGAGGCTCACAGGCATGCTAGAAACACGTAGAAGCTTTCAGACGCGCTCTGACACACCGTGGCTCACACACACACACATAGAAGTACACTGAAGCTCACAGACGCGCTTAGAAACACACTGCGGTTTACATACATACACACACACACAGTCAGACACACACCATCACTTGCAGCAGGCCTGACAGTCTCTCGGTCTATGGTTACCAGGTTACCCTTCCATTTCCTTCTGTTTGCTCTCTGTTCTCGTTCTCCTCACCACATTACTGCCGTTTCTGCGTGCAAGATCCGCGCCTTTACTGCTCTGCACAGCGGAGTGCACTGGTCAGCACGCTCTCTCCATCTGCGACAGTGACCTCAGGTCACAGAAGCATACACCTGGAGGCTGCGGACCTCCAAGGGTGGGGCTCAGTAAATGGCCTGTGTG